TATTCAATCTCATTTTCAAAGGGTTGGTGAGAGTGGGCATCAGCCATTTGTGTTGGAGTCCCATGAGGTTTCATTCATTCATACTTTTATTTGGTTGATAATGTGGGAAGAAGCCCCTCCAGAGTAGAGAAAGAAAGGAATTAAGAACTGTTTTCATAAGCATATACTAGGGATAATAAGTCTTATATAATTCATACCATTTGCCAGCTACTTTGTATTAATACATTTAATTTTTGAACAACTCTGTGAAGTAGGTACTCTCATCCCTTTTTTAAGATGAGTTAAATTGAGGCACAGGCAGATTAAGTAAATTTGCTCAAGGTAACAAAGCTAGGAAGTGGCAGAGCTGGGGTTCAAACTTGGAGTCTGGTCTATAATGGTTACACTCTTAATCATTATACTAAAATGTATCTCATTTTCTGTGAACATCAGTCATCTCCTAGGCCTAGTTGACACATAGGTGATTGAAAACACTGGAGTCCAGTTCAATGGTTAGGGGAAGAACACTGTGAAATGCCTAATTAGGTGTTTTCTGCTACCAGACACGATTATTCTACAAAGGCACTCATACATCCATGTTCGTAGAGCTCTTGGTCCCTTAGTCCCCACAGCTTGAGTGAGTGCCAGTTTCTGTCAGATCAAGCCTTTAATTACAATGCTAAGAATTTTGGGGGAAACTTAACTATTACTCTTCATGGGGAAAAGTATTTTTTTAAAAGTTTATATTTGTTTAAGAAGAGATATTTAATGAAGATATTTTAATTCAGGCCTTCTGTAATGCAAGAATCAGATGCAGGGAAATATGTTTAAATATTAAGCATGATATACTATTAAGACTTGAGACAATGCAAACCTTTGTTGCAGTCTATAATTAAGTAGGATTTAAATTATCTTATTGTCACAATTCATTGTGGAAGAATGTCCCACATTAAAGGATTGAAGTTTAGGATACTCACTTGAACTAGCAATAGAGTTTATTAAGTAAATAAAGGCTCTGACAAATTTAGATAGGATGTCTGTATTATTTCCATTGAATGATTTGGCTCTTTGCTTTTGTGCTTTTATTTTATGTGGTTGAAATTAAATATTTATTTTATTTTATTTTTTAGCAAGAGAAAATAACAAAATATAATAAATATATATGTATGGGAACCCTGCATACATGAGAGAGTCAGAGACCTACATGCAGGAGAGGGTCAGAAATAGACAGGGGGATTGAGGTATAAAACATTCTGATCTAGGGATGAGGGAATGAGTCTTGGGGGCTTTAAAGGATCATTGCAGGATGTTGAGAGCTGATACTCAAGTAAATAAGTTTGCCCTGCCATGTAGGTGGGTCGAAATGGTTATCGCTGATGATCTCTTATGGACAAGGCCTCTAATTCAGATTCTTCTAGGTATTTGGCGGGGGGGACGNTCTTATGGACAAGGCCTCTAATTCAGATTCTTCTAGGTATTTGGCGGGGGGCGGGGGACNGAAATGGTTATCGCTGATGATCTCTTATGGACAAGGCCTCTAATTCAGATTCTTCTAGGTATTTGGCGGGGGGGACGGACAAGTTTCTCCTGAGCCTGTGGCTAAAGTTGCCTTCAGTTCAAAACAATCTACATACCATAGGGGCACATCTTGGGGTGACTCATCTGGACCCCCATAGTTCCCTCCTCCAGAATTTGGGTTGGTAGATTGTTCTGTAGATCATTAAACCAGTATGTGTCTTGAGAAAATTTCAGTTTAAGTTAACAGTTGTGTCTCATTTCAGGAGGTGGTGATTCAGGTGGGCTCCCAGAGTTAAGCCCATCGTGCAAGCAGTCTGGTATTTAAAAGTCATCTTTATGAAAACAAAAGAAAACAAAGATTAATGATTGGAGCAGACTATATAATCTCGGTTTTTGAGTTCTGAAGGCAGGCAGTTGAAAAGATTTCTAGATGTCTGGCTCGAAGCACCTTCAGGTGGAGTGAAGGCAGGCAGTGACAGTCTCAGTCTCCTGGGCTGCAGTTTGAATGTCTGGTGATCTTTCTGCAGCAGGCACAGAAATTGTCCATAGATGAGCTGTGGTTGTGATTTTTCTGAGGTTTGCATCAAGTTGTCCCACTTTAGTTTTCATGGCCTTGGAAAGAGAGCAGTGATAGTGCTTAATGATTCCAAGTCTAAGGGTGGGAAAATGAAAATGTTAGTGTGGAGGGTTGAGTTTTTAGGAAAACTAGAAAAATTCAGAGTCTAGTCCAGTTTATAGGTAGAAATTAAATATTTTTAAAAACTCAAAAGACAATGAACAGCACTAGAATCTAATTCACAAAGGTGTATTATGGTTTCTACTGAAACAATTTTTCTCTCTAAAATCACCTCCATCTTTACCAAAGGTCTAGCTGGTAACCAAATTAAGACTTAATTTATTTGTAAAATGAATCTAGTTTCAATAAACTTGGCCTAATTGTATAAGTCCAGCAAGAAAAGTAATTAACCACATAGGCTCTTTCAACTCTGCTTTGCTGGAATTTTCCAATAAGGACTCTTCCGACTGAGCTTAAAAAGGCCTCTCAAGGCTAGGAAGCCAACCGGCATATTTGCCATCAGACTTCTGCAATACCCCTTCTCAAGGTACCCAACGTATCCTGAGGTTCTTTCCTTGAATCTGCCGGTGAGCAACCTTTGTTCCTTACCTGGAAAGACTACTGTGAATCATATAAGCAAGGTACCAAGCTGTTTTTCCAAGGGGCTTTTATTGGCTTCCAAAGTCAATTTTAATTCTTTAAAGCTTTCTGGTCACATCTGAGCCTGTGCATGTCTCTCAAATGTTACATTCCAGTCAAAGCTTTGTGTCCTCTTATAAAGAGAACTGATTCTTATTGAACTTATGCAAACCAACATATTGCCTTGAAAATAAAAATACTCATTGAGTTTCCAAAGTCTGGAGGGATCAATTAAAGAGAGAACAGAATGTTTCAATACTGCTTACAAAGGTGTAATTTTCTAACTTGCTCTAGGTCACAGGTACTTTAAAAGAAAGAAAAATATTCCTTATATGTGGAAAACAAGATTTTAAAAGTCAGCATTTCAAATAAAAAGTCATAAAATTGTCACCCTTCTCATCTGTTCATTCAGTTCTGTGTAATTAAACTTGTTCTGCTTGAATCCACTTTTTCCATTAGTTCTCTCAACCTTGCCTGATAATTGAGGGTAATAGGGTCAGTCATAATTCCAAGAGCTTGCAAGTCCGTCCATTAAAGTTCATGTGATTTGCTCAGTGAAGTGGCTGCCCCAATCACTAGAGATTTTGGAAGGTATACCCCAGGTGGGAAACGTTTTCTAACAGTTTCTTTGCCACTGTGAGGGCATCAGCCTTGTGGCAGGGGAAAGCTTTAACACTTCCAGAATGAAGTCCAGCTTACTATGGTGGGTGAAGGAATGCAAAAACTTAAAACATACGGGGGAGCCAGGAAGAACCTAGTGGTCACCTTGGGTTCCCCGTAGCCCTGACTGTTCATTTAATTTTCCAGTCATTGTTTACCCATCTTAATTAAATATATTTTAATACTGACATTTTTAAAAGACATTGCAATTTATTTTCATTGAATATAAATTTTAGATAATGTACTTCTGACTTCCATTTTCCTAAATTCTTAGCTCCTATTTTTGTCTTCTTTTATTAAAGATGCTTGTGACAAAATGTGATGAGTTTTGCTTTTAGATTTATTTTGTAATTATGGTTTTTCTAACACTTTGTTAGTGTTCTCTCATTTCTCTTTTCTCCATGCTTAATTTTTCCTTTATGGTAAAAGATACAAATTTTAAAAATAATTTTAGCTTCATATTTCACTAACAGTGTATCATTCTCTAAAATTTGTTGAGTATACAACAGTGATGTATGATGCTGCTTCAAACATAAAAATAAATGATATTAAATTATTGCTTGATAACTTCTATAGATTGAGATGATAGTAGTAGTTCCTTTACCCCTGGAAATGAATGTTCTGTGTTCCAAATATCTTTTAACTTTGTAAATTATTACAGTTTAACCTCAGAATTCTGTTAATGTTTTATGTGAATAATTTTGAAATTCTAGCCATTAGTTGTTGGTAGCTCACAACACTTTATGAAAGTTAATTATGACATGCTCAAAAACAAGTCTTCTTAAAATAGGTGGCAACAGTGCTTCATTTGTTGCTAGTTTTAATTAACTTGAATGCACCTAAGAATAAAGAAGAAGCTAGGAAAAGACCAGACTCCCTAGGCCTGCCCTTGGCTCTGGGATAGCTTTGTCAGGCATGCATCCATTCTGTCTGTTCTTAATTTACATGCAATTTCAGCAGAGCTTGATTTTTCTGACTTTTTAGATTATAAAAAGTTAGAACTAAATTAGAAACAGCAATAGTGTGCTTCTAGATTAGAGGTAGACTCTCAGGTTACTTTAAGGAGAAATAGCATTATTAACTTTTACATTTTTTTACTTTGTTTTCTTCTTACACAGAGCACATTTATAAATATAAAGTGTAATAAATGAAGTCTAAAAGGGAGTAGCTGGCAGGCTTCTAGCAAAGAATAAGATTAAATAAAAACTATATGAGGCAGATACAAATATTTAAAAATTACAGTAATCTTGGCCCATTTAGATATAGGACAAAACAGTTAACTTACCACCTGAAGTATTCTCCATGGTTTTAGAAGAGTTTTTAATGACTCCTAAGTAATGTATACAAGATTAAGTCAGTTATTATCCATAAAGAAGTAGGAGTGTGTAATGTACTAAAGAAAATCTTTTTAATTTAAAGGGAGTATGCTTCAGTGTTTATGAAATTTTCTTCATTTTCATAAATGGGATATTTAATATATTTAATGTAAATCTGTTTTCCTTTATTTTCCCATACTTTGTTTCTTTGCCCTCTTTTGCAGGTACTATAATAAAATAGAAATAAACTAACTTTGTTTACACTCATTTTGAATGTAAATAAAAATCTATCATATTCAAAGTAATTAATTTTTTCCCCAGGTGCTACAAAGTACACAGATAAAGACAATGGAGGAATGCTTGTATGGTCTCCATATCACAGTATTCCAGATACCAAATGTAAGTTTTCTGAAATTGAACATTTATGTCGATAGGGATCTATTAACCAATTCAAAATGCAATTTATATTTGTTTTTGGGTCTCTTAGCTTCTCATAAGAAAAAAGTTTGTCTTTGTTTTGTTTTTTTGATGGAGGTTTTTATATTAGAATGTTTTTCCTTTTGAAAGGTAGTGGGTTGATCATTCCAATTTGTGTCAGGCCCAGGAAGACAGAGGAAACCTAGGATCTGATGGCATTGCTGCTTAAATCCTCAAGCAGGGGAGGGAGTTACTATGTAGACATCTGCACAGGCTTTTCCTCAGTGTATGGAGATGTAAAGAAATGCCTTCAAACTTCAAAGAGCCCACTATCATTACCATTTTAAAGAGGAAAGGGGAAAGAACTGACTTCAGCAGCCATCAATCAGGTCATCTTTGTGCTCTCCATTTCTGGACGGAGACCTTCTGGATCATTGACCATGCACTTCTTGAATCATGGTGTGGCTTTAGACTTCAATGTGATGTAGCGGACCTGATCCTTTGCGGCACATCAGATATAGGAAACGTGCAGGTAACAAAACTAAGATCCCCATCCCTCCATTTAGTTATCATTGAATTTACTAAAAAAAACCCCCACTGAACAGCTTAATTCTAGCAGCTGTAAAATAAACTTGTCTTTTAAAAATATTTACTAAATCTTATAGCTGTCCCTGATGGTTTATTTAGTCCCACGAGTAATGATCATGTAATAGTCTAATTACCCTTATTGATGCAATAAGAGAACTAAAAATTGAAAACTGAGTAATATTCTGCATACCTGGTCATACTTCCTGTTTAAGCACTTTAGAGCACCAGCAAAAGGTCTAGCTGGTAATCTAGGAATTAAATGCTCTTGAGGCATTCTTAAACAAATACATGAAATTACGTTTGTTCTGGGACTATATACTGAGAAACCCGAAAGAGAATGTTGGGTTTCTTTGGTTCAATCCTCATACGCAACGGTTTTCATTCATAAACTGAGTATCACGGTGTCATTGGCTTTTGCTGTTTTCACACTGTTTTTATACAGTGGTGTCTTTCTTAGCAAAGTGGTAAACAGAATTCAGAAAGCCACCATTTCCTGGTAGTATGATGCCCATGTGGCATATCCACCTGAAGGTCTAGGGCTGTGCATTGGAATCACTTGCGGGAACTTTAAAAAATAAACTCTGTTGACATGTGGTCTCTATCAAACCAGTTCAATCAGAATTTTCAGAGGTGGAGCCTGGACTTACTTTTTATTTGTTTAAAGTTTATTATTATTACACTTTTAATCCTTACCCAAGGATATGTCTTTATTGGTTTTACAGAGAGAGGAAGGGAGAGGTTGAGAGAGAGCAGTATTGATGTGAGAGAGAAACATTGATCAGCTGCCTCCCAAGACCCTTCCATGCACCAGGCAATGCTCCAAACAACTGAGCCACACTGGCCAGGGCTGGACTTACGTGTTGTTGTTTTTTTAATTTTAGAGGAAGAGAGAGAGGGAGAGAGAGAGAGAGGAGAGAGAAACACCAATCAGTTCCCTCGGGCGTGTGTCCCAACTGGGATTAAACCTGCAACCTGGGTATGTGCCCTGACCAGGAATCGAACCCGAGACCCTTTGGTGAGCAGGCCAGCACTCTAACAACTGAGCCACACCAGCCAGGGCTGGACTGACTTTTTAAAAGCTCCTCCATTTGACAAATCTCAGAGGGAAGGTGGGGGTGAGTGGGCGAGGGGGGAGATTAACCAAAGAATTTAAATGCATACATACATAACCCATGGACCCAGACAATAG